CTTTCTCACAAAACTAAAGGAAATCTAGTCTGGAATTGCGTTTCCTCATTTAGATCTTAGCCACTTAGCATCTTTAAGCAGCTGCCACAGGTACATCACTCTCTTCTCCCACCACCCAACAGAAAATACATACACAAATTGAAACAGCCCCCCCCTTTCTAAACCTTCTGTGTAGTCTTAGGTAGCTCTGAGACAGTGATCTAGGTACTGACACTGGGAAGACTGGAGTTTCATGAGCACAGTGTTACTTTGCCAAGCATTTAGACACACGCAGCCACAACAGGAAGTATTCAAAAATCTTCTGGGCTGAGACAAAAACACGCTAAGTCAGATCCTGCATGATGACTACTTGCTAACAAGCCTTGGTCTGGAAAGCAAACTCTGCAGAACAGTAGTTTTCCAATCAGATTATCACACCATTCATGACATACTGGTTGTGTGAAAACTAGTTACATTTATTTAGAATTCCAGATTATATTAAAAAAAGCTGTCAGAAAGATAACATTACCCTAGCACCAACAGATGACTGGCACATACAAGGTACATCCCAGTTCATACATCCAACTTGGTGCATAGGAAAACAGGTAACCATTAATTCAGCACGAAGTTTTAACAAACATGTAACACATCTGCAAGAGCAAGTACAACGTGCAGAACATTCAAAGAATCTCCAATTGCAGTCTACCCTCCTATGCAATATTCTCTTGTTTATAAACAAAATACTACACAGCATAAGGGCAACAGTGCTTTTCTAGCTGTCCCCAAGCTATCTGGATTTATGGGTAACTGCCAGTTCAAACTTTCACACTGATCGCCACGCACCCTGACAAAAATTCTGAGAAGCTTTACACAGAGGTAATCCTTCAGTTCACTATGTGACCACAAAGTGATCTGAAACCTGACTGTACATCTAGTACCTCTCTCCTGGGATTACTGCCTCTAGATGTTAAGCTTTTAGTTAGCTGCTTGGGGCTTGTTGGTTTTTGAAAGAGTTAGTCCCCTCAGGTTAACTACACCCTCTCTTTCAGAGAGCATCCGCCATACCCGCCTGCTGACTGAAATGATGGTTTGGGTCAGACTTTAGACAAAACTATAAGAACAACAACAAAAAAAATATCCCCGCTCTACTCTAGCAGTTGTTGGTCTGGGAGGTTTTAGTTAGCTGCTTGGGGCTTGTTGGTTTTTGAAAGAGTTAGTCCCCTCAGGTTAACTACACCCTCTCTTTCAGAGAGCATCCGCCATACCCGCCTGCTGACTGAAATGATGGTTTGGGTCAGACTTTAGACAAAACTATAAGAACAACAACAAAAAAAATATCCCCGCTCTACTCTAGCAGTTGTTGGTCTGGGAGGGATTTTTTTTATTTGTTCCCCCCCCCATGATCTGAATCTGACAAA